ATATATATATACATGTACATGCAATAAACACATACACACACACACACACACACACACACACACACACACACACACACACACACATATATATATATATACGCATGTCTAAATTTGTGTTTATACATGTGTACATGTGTTTATCCAAGTACACAGCTTTTTAAATACACAAGAATGCGTCGTAACACATACCTCGAGGGTTCGAATATATTGTACTTAATGTCCGTGCACGTGGCATTCTTAGCTCGCAGAGTCTTCAGGCCACTCATTGTATAAAGAATTGCGTCCGCTTCACCAGCAACACAGATCTCCGGTGTGCATATTGTCTTGCCAAATATCGTAACACACTTCTTAGGGGTACAGACTTGGCCGTCAACCTTTCCGGTCATTTGACCTGAGGTGTGTGTGGGGTTGGGTTAATCTCAGAGACTGAGGTGACGCTTATATATATATATATATATATATATGTACATATATGACTGTTGACAACTATGATAGGCAGTGTATGGCTAAAATAATAGAGCACTAGTCAACCTGTTTTTCGCTGACTACACCTTGCTCGTTCGATGTTCTGTACGTGTTGGCAGGTCCACTCTATAGATATACTTAGGCCTGCTGGCAATGCCACGATCGTAATCAATCAGCGCTAATCATACTTCGTGTTTGCTTGTTTTACTTCAGCCGACGGAGCTATGAACAATGTGAATGCTCTATCGTCGAACACACCAGAAGCGACAGAGATATATAGATAAACAGACACAGACACGCCGGTGTGGGTGAGTCTATCTGCATTGGGTGATCGGGTCATGATCTCGTTTACATAATACTATTGAAGGAGTGCCTTAGGACTAGCAATCCCACATTCGAAAAGCGCAACACTTTACTTCAACACGCACCCGTAGATGTATGAGGTATACATAACAACGCCAATGAAAGCTTTTGTGGTATGTATTACAACGTCAATGAAAGCTTATGAGGTATTTATAACAATGTCAATGGAAGCTTATGATGTATGTATAACAACGGCAATTAAGTAAAGAAAACAACGCCAATGAAAGTTTATGAGGTATTTATAACAACGCCAATGAAAGCTTATGAGGTATATATAACAACGCCAATGAAAGTTTATGAGGTATTTATAACAACGCCAATGAAAGCTTATGAGGTATATATAACAACGCCAATGAAAGTTTAAAAGGTATGTACAAAAACGTCAATGAAAGCTTATGAAGCAGATATAACAACGCCAATGAAAGCTTATGAGGTATATACAACAACGCCAATAAAAGCTGTCCACAGAAGGAGAAAACACAGCGTAGTATCCTTCGTCACCACGACAATACTCTAATAATCACGTGGAAAAAAATGAGCAACATACCATTGAAATCCATCGGGTCGAGACGGTTGTTCGGTTTACCAAACAGATCCATGTCCTTATCGGTGAAGAGCTTAGACTTTTCAATATTGCGATTAGCGAGTTTCAGAAAATAACTCAGCACAGGGTTAGCGAAATCGCAATGTAGGTTTTCTGGGGGACGTACAGCGGTCTCTTCTGATGAAGAAGCAGCCTGTAGCTCCACTTTCGCTTGTGTGAGACAATATAATGTGGCCAGTAACAGGCAAATACGTGTGAGATTCAACTTCATGGTTTGTGAGCTCGTGTGTTTGACACAGCTAGACAGTACACAGGAGAGTTGTTGCACGCGGAAGTAAATGTTTATATGCATTTATATGTGAGTACAGTATGTATGTATACATTATTTTTGACTTCTTTTTCTTGAAAATGCGATGATAGAATTCGACGTCATCAGTGCTGATCATCTGATGGCGCATTCAAAGATAATTCGCCAGAGATCATCAGAATGCAAATGTAAATATGTACCAATATCAATAACCCCAGTGCTTCATAAAAGTGTTCTCAACCAAGTACTCTGCACTTTATGTCTCCCGCTGGTGAACAGCAGTAGTTGATCCTATGTCGGGATATTTCGGGTACACAGAGTTGCACTTCACTGAAACTATATTTTCATGCATACCACGTTTCACGATATCGTGAAAGGGCACCTCAACGTATTGTTACTTAATAAACACGACAATGTTTATATG